CAGATGGGACAGGGGTGGGGGAGAATGGGTGAAGAGGTGAGAGGATTAAGAAGTACAAATAGGTAGTTACAGAATGGTCATGGGGATGTAAAGTAAAGAACAGGGAATGAAGGAGCCAAAGAACATGTACGCATGATCCATGGATGTGAACAATGATGTGGATATTGTCTGAGGGAGTGGGGTGGTGGGGAGGATCTCTGGGGGGGTGGTAAGGGGAAAAATTGGGGCAACTGTAATAGCATAATGAATAAAATATAATTATTTTAGAAGGTGCATTTGTCTGATGTTTCCTCATGGTTAAATTCAGGTAATGCACCCCCATCCAGGATATTATATGTTGTATCCTTTTGGTGGTGAATATGAATACTTAAACTGTGGTACATCTAGACAATGGAATATTTTTCAAGACTAAAGAGAAATGAGCTATCAAGCCATGAAAAGATATAGAAGAACTTTAAATGCCTGTTATTATGTGAAAAAAGCCAATCTGAAAAGGTTATATAATTGTATGATTTCAACTATTATATATGACTTCCTGAAAAAGGCAAAACCATAGAGACGGTAAAAGATCAGTGATTGCTGGGAGTTAAGGGCAGGAAGGGATGAATCTGCAGAGCACAGAGGATTTTAGGGCAATGAAAATATACTATACTATAATGGTGGATCCATGTTATTACACATTTGTCAAAACCCATAGATTGTACAACTCCAGGAGTGAACCTTAATGTGAACTATGGACTTTGGGTGATAATAATGTGTTAATGTAGGCTTATCAATGATAACAAACGTACAACTCTGGTGGAGAATGTTGATAGTGGGATTAGTTTGGGGTGGGGGCAGGGGTAGAAGGTATATGGGAAATTTCTGTAACATTCACTCAGCTGTGCTATGAAACCCAAAACTGCTGTAAAAGGTAAAATCTATTTTAAAACTGCATTAGCACAATGACACATAATAAGTATTCATCTTAAGTCCTCATTATTATAATTATTTCATATGTCCTATCTAGCTTTGACTTGCAGTGATCCTATACTATACAAGGTTTGTCCAGAAGGTATCTAGCCCTGTAATATGAAAAACAGAGACATTTACTGAAGAAGATACAAGATATAAGAAACATTGTGTATAGGACAATGATGTCTCTGTCCCCTTCAAGGTAGGCACCTTGGGACCTCACACAGTTCTCCCAATTGCCATCAACTCCCCTGTTGTATTTTCCTGAATCTCATCAATGGCCTGAAATCTCTTCCCTTTCAAAGGTGCTTATGGTTTTGGGAAAAGCCAGAAGTCGCAGGATGCCAAATCTGGGCTGTAAAGGGGCTAAGTCATCTGGTTGATTTGATGTTTCACCAAAAACCTCTGCATAAGATGTGAGGCACAAATGGGCCCATTGTCATGACGAAGCTGCCAATCACCAGTGGCCCATAGGAGCAGCCTTCTGAATCATGTGAATAGTTTCTACAGAGGAATGTTCAATGTTAATGCAAAATTTGATGCAGATTAGTTGGTCTACTCATTCATTTTGAATGTGACAGCCACACAGTACACGTGCTCACTCAATAGCATCTACTGCCCCCACTGACTAGGACAGTGAAGTCGTCATTGTTCACACATGCACATTCCAGTCCACTCTCCTTTGCTGTCAGCTTACATTGATATTGCACAAACTGTTCTCATTATATTAATGGCTGGACTTTTTCTGGACAGACCTCATAGTAAATGGTACAGCACAATAAGAAAAAAACTATAAAAATATGCTTTGTTTCTATTTTATATATCTAGATTTAAATCCTTAAGCGCTGAGTGACAAAGAAGGGGACATTGGGAAACAGGTAATGAGCATTTACTGAGTACTTAGTATATGTGGGGCAAAAGTAGGGTTACAATTGTGAGTACGTGAAACACAGAATTTGTTCTTATTATATACATTAATTATTATATTATTTTCCATCTAAACAACTGAAAACCTGTTTTTGCCCCACCCTGTATGTGTCAAGCAACATGTATTTTACTCATGTCACCTTCACTGCACCATCTGAGGTGTGTGGCTGCAGAGGGGCAGTAGGATCTCTCTGCATTTGGACTGTATGGCGTGAATGTTGGCCTTGCCACTTATAAGTTACGTGACCTTGGGCAAACTCTTTAATTTCTCTGTGCCTCAGTTTTCTCATTTTTTAAAGCAAAATAAAATAAAGGGTTTTTGTACCAATCTCACGGAAGTGTTATATGGATTAAATGAGTGAACACATAAGACAGGGACTGGCACAGAGCAACCACCGCTCCGTGTCTGCTGATACTGTTTCAGAGAAGTGGAACCCGAAGCACAGAGAGCCAAGTCACTTGCCAGGGTCATATACCTGGGAAGTGGCAGACTTGGGATTTAAACCAGAATATTCTCTGATGATAGACAGTATAAAGGCAGTTACAGAGGGGCTAAGTGCTGTTTAGGAAGTAGTTTGGAAAGTGTGGCAGCCCTAAGGAGGCCTTTAAACAGGTCTGAGGAAGGTCTGGAAGGCTCCCAGAAGGAGATGGCATCTGAGCTGTGTGTGGCTTAAAGGATGAGCAGAAGTTCGCTAGGTGAGCAGGTGGAGAAAGTGGACAAGTGCAGGGATCATATGCAAAAGCCTGGGAGTGAGACACGCTAGGGGGAACAGCAAGCTGTTAGGGCAGACGACCATATAGTATAACTCGGGGTGTAATGGCAGCTGAAGCTTATCATAGATCGCAGGGGCCAGAAGGAACCTTCACACCCTTGAAACCTCTCTTCCTATTTTAGTAGCAACTCTTTCTCAGATAAAACCTAGAACAGAAAATAGATGAAAGCAGGTGAGCTTTGGGTGAAGTGGGGCTGGTTCTCAGGGGGACTCAGTCCACCCGGAGCATCCTGGCCACTCCCCCTCACATCTTTACAGAACCCCTCAGGCCTCATCCCTCAGTTTTACAGATGAAGGGACTGAGGCCCAGAGGGGAGTGACTGGCCCACTACTCCTCTTAGGTCCTGACTAGAGCCGGACCTTTGGACTCCCAGCCCAGGGCATTTTCTCCTCTGATTCGTTGGAAGTTTTTCTTCAAGATAAGAACTTTGAATAGAATTGGGGAGGAGGAAGAGGGGCAGGCATTTCAGCTCAGAAAACCACAAAGCCTCCACTTTCTGGACTTAGTGTTCCCATCTGCACAAAGGAGAACGCTGGGCATTCCGAGGCCATCGGCTGGGCCTCGCTCTGTCTTGTATCTGCCCCGTATCTTAGGCTCTGTCCTTCCTAATTCCACTCTCAGTCTCCGAGGGGAGAAGGGGTGCCCAGGAGCTGCTAGTGAACCCAGCCCGTGGACAGAGTGCTGAGCAGAGGCACAGGCAGCCTGCTGGCCAGAGGTTGAAGTGATCTAACCTGGCAGCTCAGGGTATTTTTAGGCCTCTATGCTCCTGCCCATGGGCTGGAAGCAGATTAGAGAAAAACAAAAATGAAATGACCTCTGCTTGGCCTGATAACTCCAGCAAGGGGAAGAAAAGACTGAGAAAAATCTAAACAGCCTTCGATTTATTTTGCTCCCTCTTCTCTCAGCAGACAGGAGCAAAGCCAGGACCCCTGACGGGGTTGGCACTCCTGCAAACACTTCATCTGGGAGCCAGGAATTTCCTCCCATCCACCCTCTCTAACTTACTGACCATGCTTCCCAAACCTATCCTACCTTGGTACCACTGATCTACTTAACAGACATTTACATTCCAGGCTCTACTCTCAACATTTTCTAATATCAATTCATTTAATTCTCAAACAGGCCATTTTCACAGATGAGCAAATGGAGGTCACAGAGATTGATTAACCTGTCTGTGGCTGTGGGAAGCAGAGTCAGGACTCAAACCAGGCAGTCTGGCTCCAGAGAACAAACTTAACCTCCGTGTTGCGCCACTTCTCCAAAGTCTGGCACCCTTCTGTGCTACTGGACACCAGGCACCACTCCTCTGAAGTGGCCCCGATGGCACCCCAACCCCCCACGACAGCTAAAGTTGTGCACATACAGTGGACACCTGCTGTCCCAGAGTGATTATTAATAGAATAATTGCTTGTCCACCCACCCTATTCACCAGTTGCCTCTGACCTGCTTGCTGCTCTGGGCTGCCCTGCCGGAGGTTTTCGGACCTTCTCACATCTTCTCCCCGAATTCCTTCAAGTAACCCGAGTCTAGGCTGAAGTTCTTACACGATTTTGCTGGAAGTCTGAGGGAGTGAAAGGAAAAGTGAAACCCAGTCAGCAGCTACCTCTGCACTGGCCATGCCCCTGCCCTTGCCCCCCCCCCCCACACACCCCCCTGCTGCTTCTCTCTTCAGCCTTTGCCTCTCACTTCAGTAGGAAGACCTGACACGGAATCCCTTGTTCTCTTGCCAGCATCTGGGAATCCTTACTTCCTTACAGAAAGCCCTGTGAAATGCTTTTCCAAACAAAAGAGCAATCTTTGCCCAAAGGGTAACTCTATTGCCACCAAAGAAATGGGCTCCTATTAGGAACAGCTCTCCCTCTCCATTTCCTGACAAAAACACAAGTATCAGCTATACATTGAGCAATATACACCTCCGGTGTAAAGAATAGAGGGAAGAAATTAAATGGAGTCACTAAGGTCAAGCTGCTAAATTACTAAAATCAACTAAGTTGAGGAATGAGGAAATAACTCTATTCTTGTTTAAACTATTCTGGGGAACTCTTGGTCTCTCTAGTTCTGCATCAATGCCTGGATATACATCAAACCTCCGGATAACCCTCTGACTATCTCCAAAGGACTAGGGAGAGAATGCTCACACACCCAGACCACCTGACACCCACTATCCAGGCCACTGGTTATCTGGAGGATTACCATCTCGGACCATCCAGAGGCTAAGAATGCAGGACTGATCCTTCTCAAGAATGCACTTTTTTTACTATAAGAACCCTCAGCTTTCTTTTCTTTTTTAAAATCTGAAATGTGTTTGTTGAGATGGTTCCCCTCTCATCTTGATTCAGGTGCTTCTAGTGCTGCTTCCTTCTAAAGGAGCACCCTTCTGGAAGCCTTGCTTTTCCTCCTGTGGGCTGACGGAGGACAGTGGGGCAGCCAACACGCCAGACTGTCATTTGTGCATGGCTAAAGGTGGTGCTGGTTTTATTGCATCCTGGGCATTTCACATCCATGAAGAGGCATGTTGTAGGGAGGTTGTCACTACTGGGAAGCCCTCTTTCTTCTTAACAACATTCTGGGTATCACCTAGTGTTTGTAGTTTGCAAACCCTAAGTCCCTTGAGTAAATCTTTCATTTATTTCTAGCCAAAGCCTCCAGACTCTTTTTGAGTTTGTTTGACAAGTACAATCACAAAAATTTATTTTGTCTCCCAATGTCTTTTTAAAATGCAGCGGAGGAAGCTCTACCTCTGTCCCTCGGTGCAAACTTGGATCTGATTATCCCCAGGTGTGGTGGTTCATTTCATGTGTCAGTTTGGCTGGACCACAGGGTACCCAGATATTTGGTCAAACACTGTTCTGAGTCTTTCTGTTAGAGTGTTTGAGGGTGAGAGTAACATTTAAATTGGGGGACTTTGATTAAATCAGAGTGCCCTCATAATGTGATTGAGCTTCATCCAATTAGCTGAAGGCCTAAATAGAACAAAAAGGTCAGCCTCCCCTGAGCAAGAGGAAATTCTGCAGCAGATGGCTTTTGGACTGCACCTGCAACATCAGCTCTTCCTAGTTCTGCAGCAGATGGCCTTCGGACAGAAACTGGAACTTCAGTTCACCTGGATCTCCAGCTTGCCAGCCCATCTTACAGATTTTAGATTTGCCAGCTTCCAAGATTACGTGAGCCCATTGCTTATGAGAAATACCTCTCTCTCTCATATAAATATGTGTGTGTGTAGATATATATGTACACACATATACACACATATAAATATATACACACATGTATTACATATATACATATATGCAGTAATATGCCACATAATGTTTTGGTTGATGATGGACTGCATATACAACAGTAGCCTCATAAGATTATAATGGATTATAGGGACTTCCGGCCAAGATGGATGCATAGGTAGATACACTTTGCCTCCTCACACAACCAAAAGAAGGACAACAAATTTAAAAACAAAAAATAATCAGAACTGGAGAAGAATCAAACTATATGGAAGTCCAACAACCAAGGAATTAAAAAAGAAACATTCATTCGGACTGGTAGGAGAGATGGAGACGGGCAGCCTGGGCACAGAGGATGCACAGCAAGGCAGCAGCTGGAGGGCCAGAGTGGGCAAGGCGGTGGCTAGAAGACCAGGTGGTCCCACATTTCTGTGCAGATAAACTGGGATGAACAACTGGGAAATGAGACAAACCATGCAACCCAGGGTTCCAGTGTAGGGAAATAAAGCCTCAAAACCTCTAGCTGTAAAAATCTGAGCAGGTTGAGGTGGCAGGAGAAACTCGCAGCCTCACAAAAGAGTTTGTTGGAGAGACTCGCAGGGTCCTAGAACGTACACAAACCCACCCACCTGGGAATCAGCACCAGAAGGGCCTGATTTGCTTGTGGGTAGCCAGGGAAGTGACTGAAAGCCACTTTCCCCCTCAGACCCCTCCCCCACATACAGCACCACCATGCAGCCATGTGGATTGCCTGCTCTGGTGAATACTCAAGACTCTGCCCCTTACTGCATAATGAGTGTGCCAAGACAAAACAATATATATGTGGCCCTAATGAAAGAACTTATCAAAGCTCCAAAAATAGAACTAAGTGATGAAGAGGAAGCCAACTTATCAGATGCAGAGTTCAAACCACTGGTAATTGGGAAGCTCCCAGAATTGGTTGAATATGGTCACAAAATGGAGGAAAAAGTGAAGGCTATGCAAAGTGAAATGAAAAGAAATGTACAGAAGACTAACAGTGAAAGAAAGAAAACTGGGACTCAAATCAATGATTTGGAGCAGAAGGAAGAAAGAAATATTGAACCAGAACAGAGTGAGGAAACAAGAGTTAAAAAAAAATGAGGAGAGATTTAGCAACCTCCGGGACAATTTTAAACATTCCAACACCTGAATCATAGGAGGAGAGGAAGAACAAGAATTGAAAACTTATTTTAACAAATAATGAAGGAAAACTTCCCCAATCTGGCAAAAGAAATAGACTTCCAGGAAGTCTGGGAAGCTCAGAGAGTCCCAGAGAAGCTGGACCCAAAGAAGCACACACCAAGGCACATCATAATTACATTACCCAAGATTAAAGAGGACAGAATCTTAGAAGCAGCTAGAGAAGACAGTTACCTACAAAGGAGTTCCCATACGACTATCAGATGATTCTCAAAAGAAACCTTGCAGGCAAGAAAAGGCTGAAAAGAAGAATTCCAAGTCATGAAAGGCAAGGACCTACATCCAAGATGACTCTATCCAGAAAAGCTATCATTTAGAATGGGAGGGCAGATAAAGTGCTTCCCAGGTAAGGTCAAGTTCAAGGAGTTCATCATCACCAAGCTCTTATTCTATGAAATGTTAAAGGGACTTATCTAAGAAAAAAAAGAAGATCAAAACTATGAACAGAAAAATGACAACAAACTCACAATTATCAACAACTGAATCTTAAAAAAGCAAAAACAAAAACTAAGCAAACAACTAGAACAAGAACAGAATATCAGAAATGGAGATCACATGAGGGTTTATTGGTGAGGAGGGGTCGAGGGGAGGATGGGGGAAAAGGTACAGGGAATAAGAAGCATAAATGGTAGGTACAAAGTAGACAGAGGGAGGTTAAGAATAGTATAGGAAATGGAGAAGCCAAAGAACCTTTATGTACAACACATGGACATGAACGAAGGTGAGGGAGCGCTGGAGGGAGGAGGTTGTGGAGCTGAGGGGAATAAAAGGGGAAAAATGGGACAACTGTAATAGCATACTCAATAAAAAATATTTTTTAAAAATTATAGTGGATTATAAACAAAAGATTTGTTGGCAATGTTGAAAGAAAAGGCTGTACCTCACTACAATGTTGAATTTACTGCTAGTTCTGGGGGATTTTTAAATAAAGCATGCCATCCATTCACTGTGCACTCACCTGTACACTCGCATACTTGCACACCCACCTGTACACTTGCACACCAATGCACACTCATGAGTGCAAACTCACTCTCCTTCCCTCCATGTCACCCTCCCTCCTCCTGACCTCTTCGCTCTCTTCAACTGGCACTTCCCTCCCTAGCCCTGCCTTTGCACCTACAATGTATATGCACTGTATCTTTTATAGCATATTTTACTGTGCCTTTTCTGTGTTAGGTATGTTTACACACACAATACTTACCACTGTGTTATAATTGTCTATAGCACGGGTGGCAAACACAAGACCCCCAGTCCACATCCGGCCTTCCACCTTGTTTTACCTGGCCCAGCACCTTGTTTCTACCCAGCGGCAGCACTGAGCTCTTGCTTAACTGTGAAGGGGTGGTTACATTTGTACAGTCCTAAAATTACATTCGGCCCTTTGAAGGCAATGCGAGGCTGATGTGGCCCCCGGTGAAAATGGGTTTGACACCCCTGGACCGTATTCAGTACAGGGACATGCCGTGCAGGAGAAAAAGGCTGTACCATCTGGCCTAGGTGTGTAGCAGGCTATACCATCTAGGTTTGTTAAGTGCACTCTATGAAATCTTTGCACATTGATGAAATCTTTTAATGATGTGTTTCTCAGAGTGTAGCCCCATTGTTAAGTGACACATGACTGTACATACATATATACCCTATTGGTTCTGTCTCTCTGGAGAGCCCTGACAAATTCACCAGGTTAATGAAAAGCAAACAAATAAACAAAAACTCTATTTTAGGTTCTTAAACACAGCCTCAGTTCACAAGTTAAAATATCCAGTCTGGGGAGCAGCCAAAGCTTCTGACTTTAAAAAAAAGTTACAGAGGGTCCCTCCCCCTACTAGAATGAGGGCAGATACTTCTCTCCCTTCCCCCACCCTAAAGCCTCCCCCTCAGTCTCGCTCAGGTGGTTCTAACCCCTGGTGTGATTGTAGCACTGGGTGGGGAGGAGTGTCGAACACCCTTACTTGACTGATACTGCTCCAGGACCATGCTGACCTATGTGTAACTCTAATTCCTCAAGGGCGGGGGGCTGCTTTCAGAGATTCTGGAGACTCCCAGAAACATTCCATTTTACTTTTTGATGTGAGTAAGATATTTACGCCCAGTTGGTGACTCTCCTGAACTCCAGTTTTATTTTGTTTTATTTTGTTTTGTTTTAATGCTCACCTAAGGACATGCTTATTGATCTTAGAGAGAGGGAAAGGGGGGGAGAGAGAGAGGGAGAGAAACATTGAGAGGATCAGTTGCCTCTCCTATGTGCCCAGGCTCAACCAGGAACAAATCTGCAATGCAGGTATGTGCCCTGACTGAGAATCGAACCTGCAACCTTTCAGGTTTACCAGACAACGCTCCAACCAACTGAACCACACCAGCCAGAGAATCCTCAGCTCCTGTATTTATTCTTGCCTCCTCACAACTGCACAAAAACACACTGAATCTCTGTACTGGTATCATGTTGCTTCTCTAGATATCCTCTGGGGCGTGATCAGACCAGCTCTCCTGATGGCCCCACATCTAAAATCCTGAAATCTGAAATTGCAAAATTGGTTGTTCATTCCTCTGACAACCTCAGGGAGGGAGGCCTTCTTCCTGTTCAGCCACCTCTCTGAGGCTTCTTTCTCCCATCCTTTGGATTGCTGAAGTGGGAATCAGAGACTAAGTCCAGCATTTCCTATCCTGCAGGGAGCCCATATTTAGCTTCCAAATGGTCCTGTTGGGGCTCCTCACATGGTTGGCCTCAGAGAAAGATACTCGCAGTTCTCGTGGGTGGGGTGGGACTGAGGGTGGGGAAAGTCAAAGTCCTATTCTCTTTGAACCAGTTTTTTTCACAATATTTTCCCTCCTTCCTTCCTTCCTCCCTTCCTTCCCTCCTTCCTTCCTTCCTTCCTTCTTTTTTTTACAGAGAGAGGAAGGGGGAGAGAGAAAATCATCAATTTTTTTGTTCCACTTATTGATGCATTCATCGGTTGATTCTTGTATGTGCCCTGACCAAGGATTGAACATGCAACCTTAGTGTATTGGGACAATGCTCTAACCAACTGAGCTATCTATCCAGGGCTCACAATTGTTTAAAAATC